TTTTATTTTTTAGATACATCTGAGTAAGATAAATTTTAAAAAGTAAAATAAAAAACTTCAAATTTTAAAAATATTTACTAAAAATAAAAAATATTTAAAAAATAAAAACTTATTTTTAAAAAATTAAATTTAAAAATTAAAACCAAAACACTAACTATTACTCTGGCCATCGAGTTAATAGTGTGCCACGACATCCTATCAATTCATCAAATGGATATACTGTTGAATTGAAATTACCTATGTCTCTTTTCTTTTTGGCCTTTAGCACTTTTATATCGAAATCATCACACTACTCAGAATAAGACTAAAAACAAGCTTATTTAATTGAGTAATATATCGTTTTAAATAGTTTGACAAATTTAATTTATTTATATGATCAAAATATGTGAAATTAGTTTTAATGTATCGAACATAAATTAAATTTGAGTAGTTTAAATTTTTATATATAAATATATTTATCGAGCTAAGTAATAAATTATACAAACTTAATTAAAATTATAATAAATTAAAAATTATATTCAACACTTGACTTATTACATAGTAAATCAATCTAAAATATATTTTTTAAATTAAATAATTCATTTAACCCCTCTAAATTTTGAAACAATATGGTAGAGTTGTTTGGTGTTTTGTCTAATGATAGTACAGCGTGTTCCAGACGGGTCAGATTGATCCACGCTTCCCAAACAATGTCCGAGGTACCAAGCCCACAGTAGAACGTGCACAAGAGGTTCAACGAGGAACGGGGAGTCCTCCATGCGAACCCTCGACGAGCAAGTTAGAAAGAAGATGGAATGTAAAGATAGATTAGAGATGGCAAAGCTTAACTTTCTTCTTGTCTTCGACGTCTACTTATTACCTCTGGTAATTATTTCGTGTCCCTTCCGACCTGTCATCTTGGCGAAAACCTCTTACAGCATTTATTGCGATAACCCCTCCGCGTTGAGGCAGAACGGCCTCACCATGAACAAGGCAAGATAGAGCATAGACTTTCGGCCAAGATGACAGGTCGGAAGGGACAACGAAATAATTACCAGAGGATATAAGTAGACGTCGAAGACAAGAAGAAAGTTAAGCTTTTCCATCTCTAATCTATCTTTACATTCCATCTCTCTTTCTAACTTGCTCGTCGGAGGGTTCGCTGGGAGACTCCCCGTTCCTCGTTGAACTCTTGTGCAGGTTCTACTGTGGGCTTGGTACCTCGGACATTGGTTTGGGAAGCGTGGATCAATCTGACCCGTCTTGAACACGCTGTACTATCATAGACAAAACACCAAACAACTCTACCATATTGTTTCAAATTTAGAGGGTTAAATGAATTATTTAATTTAAAAAATATATTTAAGATTGATTTACTATGTAAATAAGTCAAGTTTGAATATAATTTTTAATTTATTATAATTTTAATTTAAGTTTGTATAATTTTACTTAGCTCGATAAATATTATATATATTATAAAAATTTAAACTACTCAAATTTAATTTATGTTCGATACATTAAAAACTAATTTCACATATTTTGATCATATAAATAAATTAAATTTGTCAAACTATTTAAACGATATATTACTCAATTAAATAGCTTGTTTTTAGTCTTATTCTGAGTAGTGTGATGATTTCGAATAAAAGTGCTAAAGGCCAAAAAGAAAAGAGCATAGGTAATTTCAATTCAACAGTATATCCATTTGAATGAATTGATAGGATGTCGTGGCACACTATTAACTCGATGCCAGAGTAATAGTTAGTGTTTGGTTTTAATTTTTTAATTTAATTTTAAAATAAGTTTTTATTTTTTATATTTTTATTTTTAGTAAATATTTTTAAAATTTGAAGTTTTTTATTTTACTTTTTAAAATTTATCTTACTCAGATGTATCTAAAAAATAAAATATTTATAAAAAAATATTTAAAAAATATAATACACAAAAATATAAAAAAATTATCTAATTATCGTATTTTTTTATTTATATTTTTATTATTTAGTGAATTTTCTAATTTTTTTACAAATATTATATTTTTTTAAGTGTATTTATGTTAGCTGTATCATTAAAATATTTATAAAAAAATATTTTAAAAAATTAATAAATACACAAAAATATAAAAAAATGTACTGAATTATCGTATTTTTTTATTTATATTTTATTATTTAGTGAATTTTCTAATTTTTTTTACAAATATTATATTTTTTAAGTGTATTTATGTTAGCTGTATCTAAAAATTAAAAAAATTGTTTAGAATATTAAAAAAATTTAGTGAAAAAAATAAGAAAAATAAAAAATTTCAATTTTCTGAAAAATAAATCTTGAAAATAGAAACCAAACAAGCTAAGTACATTGTTAAACAATAGAGTAATAAAATTTCACTAAAATATTTTTAAAAAAATTATTGGAAGCAAATAAAAATTTGAACAGAAATATATAAAGATTATTTTTTCAAATTATTTATTTTTAATGATTTTAAAAATATTTTTAGTATATTTATCAGATGTATTTTAAAAATACAAAAAAATTAATGAAAATATAAAAAAAAAAATCCTCATTTAAAAAATAAAATCAATAAAGAGCACTTATTGGTAATTCGAATTTGAGTTTGTCTGAATTTTGACTTACCGATTATTCGATTGATCTAGGGGTGTAAAAATGTCCATCGGCCCGTAGACGGTCCGAAACCCGCCAGCGGCCCGATATAGGCCCGCTAGGGCCTGAACCATCGTTTTGAAGCCTGGTTTGATCCATGGGCCCTGACCCGTGACCCAGCCCATCGCCCGCTTAAGGCCTACTTAGGACCTGGCCCGCGCTGAGGCGCAGTGTATTTTTTTGCGTATATTTATCAGATGTATTTTAAAAATACAAAAAATTAATGAAAATATAAAAAAAAATCCTCATTTAAAAATAAAATCAATAAAGAGCACTTATTGGTAATTCGAATTTGAGTTTGTCTGAATTTTGACTTACCGATTATTCGATTGATCTAGGGGTGTAAAAATGTCCATCGGCCCGTAGACGGTCCGAAACCCGCCAGCGGCCCGATATAGGCCCGCTAGGGCCTGAACCATCGTTTTGAAGCCTGGTTTGATCCATGGGCCCTGACCCGTGACCCAGCCCATCGCCCGCTTAAGGCCTACTTAGGACCTGGCCCGCGCTGAGGCGCAGTGTATTTTTTTGCGAAAAATAATAAACTTTTGGTATAAAAAAATTTTTAAAAAATGGCCAGGCCCGCCCAAGCTCGAGGCTAGCACCAGGCCCACCAAGCCTGCCTGAGGCTCGACCCACTGGCTTGCCCAAGGCCCGAATATCCCTGAGACTGGGCTTAGTTTTTTTGGCCCGTGAGCCGGCCGGGCTCGAATTTTTGACGGGAGCCCATGAGGCCCGACATGGGCCGAACCGGGCCAAATTTACACCCTTAGGCTGATCATTCGACAACAAAGTGATAGTCGCAGTCAATAAGGATGACAACCGTAATAGACAAATGTTATATCGATCGTCTGAATAATTATCCGAACAATCAATCGATATGCACAAATTTAAATAATTCAGACAAATCCAAATTCAAAGTAGTAATAGTGGTATTGTTTGGTTTTAGTTTCCAGAAAATACTTTTCAGAAAATTCTATTTTTTTATTTTTCGTATTCTTTTGTTTTCAATAAATTTTTAATATTCTAAGCAATTTTTTTAATTTTTAGACATACTTAACATAAATATACTTAAAAAGTAAAAAATTCACTGGCCTCATTTGGGAACAGGCTATTTTAGTAACTTTTTGACTTTTTACGAAAAGATGTGCAGAAAAGTAGAGAGGTGATGTGACTAGTTTTAGTTGGTTTTTTGGCTAAAATAGCCACTCCCCAAACGAGGCCTACAAAAAAATACAAAAAAAAAAATGAAAATTTAGTATATTTTTTTTGTATATTTTTATTTTATTAATTTTTTAAATATTTTTTCACAAATATTTTTTCCTATTTAGATATATGTAAATAAAATTCATCTAAAAAAATAAAAAAATTACTTAATTTTTTAAAAATATTCAATAAAAATAAAAAAAAATGAAAAATAAAAAATTAAATTTAAAAACAGAAACCAAAATATGCGTAAATTTTTCTCATGCCGAACAATTGGGCAGCTTTCTTCTCAACATTGGTTCAGTCCAGTTATATTAAATTCTAGTTGGACCCAAATTTGCCTTGAATTCACCCCCATTTTCTTCTTTTCTCTTCTCCTCTGTATCAGATCTTCAATTCTACCAATATGCAGACATTCAATTCTACCGGCTTTCTCTCTCCTCTCTCATCGACTCTCTCCCTGTGATCCAAGAGGAGAGAGAAAAAAAAAACCCATTTTGATTCTTGACTTTCTTGGCACTAATTTTTGTTATTCAATTCCATCTGTACATTATATTTACATATTGATATATATATATATATATACAGAGAGAGATAGAGTGAAAGGGGAGGAGAGAGATGGGTATCCAGGGAAATGGGAAGAGTGGTACCAAGAAATACAGGAGGATGGATTCTGATTTTTGGGAAGGAGAAGAAGAAAAAGAAAAAGAAAAACATAATCTCTCTCGTTTTGATAAGCATCATCAGACAAAAATTACCAAAAACACCAAGAAATATGTTTTTGCATGTGCCATCTTTGCCTCCCTCAACTCTGTTCTTCTTGGATATGGTTGGTGCCACTTTCCCTCTCTCCTCTTGCCTTTTTCTTTTCTTTTCTTCCCCTTCAGCATTTTCTTTTATATTTTCTTTGTCTGAATTTTCTTATCTGGTTGATTTTGGAATTAATGCTATTGATTGTGTTGTAGATAAGTGATAATTTGCGAAAATAGTTTGTATTTTTATTTTTTTTTGGGTTTAAATTCAATTCCATGTTTAAACATACTCGTCTCTACATTAAAAGCTATACAAAACCCATTTTGTTGGTAGGGTCATTCAGTGGTGTAAACAAGCTGAACTGAATCGAGCCTAGTAAAGTATATTTTCCAGTTTTGTTTGAAACTTGTTTTTTTAAAATATTTAAAAATTTTAGAAACTAGTTTTATAAGAGAAAATTATGTGAAAATATTTAGAAACTAGTTTTATAAGAGAAAATTATGTGAAAATAATTAGTATTTTTTTGACTTTCATTGAGTTTTTACAAAAAATCAACAAAACAAAGCGGTCTTTTAGACATGATTTGTTTACATAATAAGTCGATTTTGAATGAACTTTTAATGTGTCAGATACAAGTTGAACTCGAGTAGTGCATACAAGCTTATTGAGGAGTCGCTTAGTGTATATAAACCTATCGATCTCAAATGAGCTGAAGACAATTCAATCTTGAATAGCTTCGTTTGTTTTATAGCCCTAGACTCGTATGCCACAAATGCAAGTTTGGGGTGTACTAATAACTGACACACTTTTTATATCACCTCTCTATTTTTCTGCACATATTTTCGTAAAAAGTCAAGAGTGCACTTATTTAGATCATCTCAAATCATACTTGGTCGTTGTCCCCTTGCATATAAATGTATGCAAATCGATAGTTTTTAGGACTATTCCAAACTGTTTTTTGTTGGTAGTTAAAAAAAAAAAAGTTTTAGTTCATTCAATGCAAAAGTTTAAACCTGCCTTGTTAACTGCATTACAGTCAAAAGAATTCAGATATGGTGTTGCAAACTATGTTCAACTGAATCGCTCTGTCAACAGTTTGGATGAACCATCAAAAAATAAATTCTAGTTCAGTTGTTGGAAGTACCTAAATTTGGAAATTGACAATCCACCTGCTTTTTTGTACTGTAGTATATTTTCATTAGAGATATTCACAGCACACTTTCAATCACTTATGTAATAAGATTTCGTTTTTGTTTTTCAAAACGGTTGATAAACTCTAATCTTGTCATAATCACTTCTAAATTCGCAAATGTGGGCGTTATGAGCTGTTGATATACTTTCAATCATTTTGTAGTTAGATTTCGTTTTTGTTTTTCAACTTTTTGATGAACTCTCTCAGCTTGTGATTATCACTTCTCAATCCGCAGATGTAGGCGTTATGAGCGGTGCAATTCTATTTATTCAAGAGGATTTACACATAAACGAGGTTCAAGAAGAAATCCTTATCGGAATTCTAAGCATAATTTCATTGTTGGGTAGTTTAGCCGGGGGAAAAACATCTGATGCCATAGGTAGAAAATGGACAATGGGTTTTGCAGCCGTTGTGTTTCAAACCGGGGCCGCTATAATGGCTCTTGCTCCATCTTTCACCATATTGATGATAGGCCGGCTCTTGGCTGGGGTTGGGATAGGTTTTGGAGTCATGATCGCACCGATATACATTGCTGAGATTGCGCCAGCCGTCACGAGAGGTTCACTAACCTCCTTCCCTGAGATCTTCATAAACCTTGGAATCCTCCTTGGTTATGTCTCGAATTATGTGTTTTCGGGGCTTCCATCCCATATAAACTGGCGAATCATGCTTGGCGTGGGGATCCTCCCCTCGGTTTTTATCGGGTTTGCGCTTTTTGTCATCCCCGAATCCCCTAGGTGGTTGGTAATGCAAAACCGGATCGAGGAAGCAAGATCGGTGCTTTTAAGAACAAACGAAAGTGAAAAAGAAGTCGAGGATAGATTAGCTGAAATACAGCTAGCCGCGGGCCATGCTAACACTGAGAAGTACGAGGAGAAAGCCGTGTGGCGTGAGTTGTTAAATCCTTCTCCCGGAGTTCGACGAATGCTAATCACCGGCTGTGGAATCCAATGTTTTCAACAAATCACAGGTATTGATGCAACGGTATATTATAGCCCTACGATCTTCAGAGAGGCGGGGATCAAGAATAACACGCAGCTTCTCGCTGCAACTGTTGCTGTTGGATTTACAAAAACTATGTTCATCTTGGTAGCTATATTTCTCATCGACAAAGTGGGTCGAAAGCCATTGCTCTATGTGAGCACAATTGGAATGACTACTTGTTTGTTCGGTCTAGGCCTAACTCTATCTTTACTTGGGGACGGCCAAATTGGTGTAAAATTGGCAATTTTATTGGTATGTGGGAATGTTGCTTTCTTTTCAGTGGGACTAGGCCCAGTTTGTTGGGTCTTGACATCCGAAATCTTCCCTCTCAAGCTACGAGCACAAGCCTCGGCTCTTGGGGCAGTTGGGAGTAGAGTCAGTAGTGGAGTCATCGCCATGTCTTTTCTATCTGTTTCTCGTGCAATTACAGTGGCGGGAACGTTCTTTGTCTTTGCAGCGATATCATCTCTCGCTGTCGCTTTTGTTTACACTTGTGTTCCGGAAACAAAAGGAAAGTCTTTGGAGCAAATCGAAATGTTGTTTCAGAACGAGGGACAATGGCGGGGAGGTGAATTGGAGCTTGAAGATACCGAGCACCTAGTGCACAAGCAATGATTATTAGTGAGGATATGTGTTTGTTACCCTATAGGAGGTGAGGTGCTGCTCTGTTTGGTTTTGTTTTTAGAATATGTTTTCTGAAAGAATACTAAAAATTGGGTGATATTTTTGTGCAAAACAGAAAACTACCGAAATGATGAGTGTTTTTGATTTTTTTTTTTTCCCATTATTTTTTCGCCAAATTAGTTTTTAGTGTTTTCCAGAAAACGTATTCAAAATGAAACCACACAGAAAATGAGGATGTTGCAACTAGAAAATTACGTGGTTTCATACCCATACTTGAACATGTCCAAGGGTTAAATACATCAATTCCTTTAAGATTCATCTACATTACAAGCCTGCAAAGATTTGAGTTGAAATTATGTGGCTTTCACAAGTAGGAAATAAGATTTTCAGTTTGTATTCGGCTCTCTTCTCTACATGTTTTAGATAAATATTGTAAGATATTTGGAGGCCTATACAGATTGATACTGATCTATAAATTTTGATAAAGTTGTTTTATTTTTACGCCTGTTCGAGGTTTATGTATTGGACGTGTTTTCTTCTTTTAATTTTTACAGTTTGTGTACTTTTTTGATCGTCGAATCACCTTCTGGACGTATATTTTGATGAAATCTGGTTTTATTTTTATGCCTGTTCGAGGTTTAGTTTATGCAGTAGACACATTTTCTTCTTTGAATATGTATAATTTGTGTATTTTGATTGCAAAATCGCCCCCTAGTTGTAACTTTTGCTGTTTTGTTAATCGCTGTTCATTTAATGTGTTTAGAATACAAAATTTATTCAGTAGTATTTGTAGGCCTATAAATTTTGACAAAATATTGTTTTATTTTTATGCCTTTTTGAGGTTTATGCATTGGACCTTATTTCTTCTTCGAATTTCTACAATCTGCGTTTTTTGATATCAGAATCACCCCCTTCTTTGAATTTGCGCAATTTGCGTTTTTTGATAGCAGAATCGCCCCCTAGACATATATTTGCAGGTATTGTTTCGCTAATCTCTATTCATCTGACATGTTTAGGATATGAGCCCACAACTTGAATGTTTCCAAACTCAACAAATCAAAACAATAAAAACACAGATTTTGGTAAAACAAACATGGAAAAAATGAGTAAATGATCAGGAAGACAACGAAAGCGAAAGCCAATAAAAGGCCACATGCACTGGAAAACGACATGATATGAAGGTAAGGACTGCTCATAAAACTCAAAGAAAGTTTTTTTAACTCACTCGAACAATAATTTCTGGTGGTTGATTTCTGTTACTTAGGTTTGTTTTTTTACCAATCCTTCTGTATGAATGGTTATAACTATCACAAGTTCCCTCTAACTGGGCATACAAAAGACAAATAGAAAACATGTTGGCCTTACTATGGACCATGGAGCACATGCCAACCAAAAAAATTTACACCCCCTACTATGGACCATTGAGCAATGATGTTACAAAAGTTCTGTTTGTTTTTTGTTTTTATTTTCAAGCAAAATACTGACTTGTTTGGTGAATTGTTTGCGAAAATTGTTATTCACATTTGTTCTAAAAACAATCCACTTTTCAAGAAATATCAGAAAGTTATTTTTAAATTTTCAAAAATTGTTAGAGCATCTCCAATGACAAGCTATTTGAGCTGCCATTGTCAAAATTTGACAAGAGTTTTAAAAAATGTTGCTCCAATGGGTTGTTATAACTCCTGCCAAATTTGGCAAATGCCATTTCATCTTGCAAGTTTGGCAGTATTCGGCAACAAGTTTGGCAATTGCCAAACTTGCCACATCATTCAAATAAACAAAATTTGTCTCCAAAATTTTCAACATACCAAATACAGAATCACCAAATTTTCTATTTTCCAAATTTCAGTTTCACCAATTTGAAACAAACAAAATTTAAAAAAAAAAATTAAAAAATGAACACAGTGAAGTAAAAAAATACCTGACAATGAGAGCGAGAAAAGAGACAGATGATCTTCTTTGTGTTCTTTGATACAGATGATTCTACAGATGATACAAATACGTGATCTTCTTTGTGTTCTTTGATACAAATCATACAATGAGAGAAACAGAGGGATGGGGATTGACGGCAGTGAGAGAGAGAGGTAGAGTGTGGGTTTGTGAGATTTGGAGACATGGATGATCGATTCAAAGGGAACTGGTGATGGATGGAGAATAGAGAGACGAAGAGCAGAGAGAAGCGGAGGTGGTGGACGGAGAAGAGAGAGACAGAGAGCAGAAAGAGACTAGTGATAGACAGAGAAGAGAGACGGAGAGCAGAGAAAGAGACTTTCGATGATGGAAGGAGAAGAGATGATATCTAAGAGAGAGAGAGAGAGAGAGAGAGACGGAGACTGAGAGGGAGGAGGTGATGATGAAGCCAAATAGAGAGAGACAAAGACTGAGAGAGAGAGAGAGAGAGAGAGAGAGAGAGAGAAAAGACACATGGATGGTGGTGATGAAACCAAATAGAGCCATTGTGCTCTGTTTGGCTAAAAATATATACATATATATATATAATAAAAATAACAACAAACAGGTGGACCGTGGTGATGAAACCAAATAGAGCTGTTGTGCTCTGTTTGGCTAAAAAAAAAAAAAAAACTAGTTTGTGTCAAAAATAAATATGTAATGATATGTTTTTGGGTGGGGTGAATTATATTTAATTTTTTTCCAATTTTTCAATTTTTTTTTTATTTTTTATATTTGTCTAGTCAGGAATAATATAAATATATAATTTTTTTTACAAACAGTTAAAAAAAGGTCACAAAAGACAAAAATAAACAAAAATAAAATCACAAAAAAAACTATATCCAAACAATACTTACAAATTTAGAGGAAAAATTGATTGAGATTTGTCAAAATAGCAAATGACCATTGGAGCATCATTACTATAATTTAACAAAATAGTACTATTTATTGTCATAATATAGTAATAACAATGACATTATAGTAACAATGTAAAAAATGATAAATGACGTAGAAGTGATAAGTATTTTTAAACTTTCCATTGTTTTTGTATCTAAAAATATGAAAGACGAAGACAAGCAAAAAGACGAGCGTTGACAAGGGAATAGTACTATTTACTGCCCATCATCTCTTATGCACCATTTTACTGCAATTCTATATGTAAGACGCTTCAATGTATTTTTTGTTTTTTGTTTTTGTAAATTGATTTGAAGGAATGTCACAAGAATGGTAGTCAGACGAGCCGAGTAGCAAATTTACCTGAAAGTCTCAATGTCGTGTGATCCTGAAAATGTCAATTGGAACGATCTAAATTCACAAAACCGGAAAGACAGAAAAACAAAAAACGAAAGAAAAAGAGCTCCTAGACCTCTCTTTTTACTCTATTTTTGTCAAAATTGTCTTATTTGGGCTTGCAAACATTGATAAAACTGAAAAGACAAAGAAAGAACTCCTAGACCTCTCTTTTTACTCTATTTTTATCAAATTCTCTCATCTGGGCTTTGCAAATATTGACCCTTGGGTCATTTTTTGTAGTGTCTATGAAATATTTAATGGTCCCCAACTTCAAGAATGGTCCCCAACTTATTTATTTATTTATTTTTATTTCATTGTAATAATAAATATTGAACATATGAAATTTGCCTGTGAAGAGAATAGATGATCATCCTCGTGACATCAGCAATAGGTTTATGTTTCAACTAATCTGTGATCATGAATTTCGGATGCCTTAAAACTTTCCAAAACCCATCATGTTCATGGGTAATTGATCAGATATACTCATAAATAAAAAAGTTGAAATTGTGTCTTATCCAAAAGATATTTCACTATCATTCACGAAACATGCATGTTCTACAGAGCCAGCAACTCAAAAATAATGAAGGCGGTTAATTTGTTTTGGTACACTCCTCCCTCATCAAGAAAGTTACAAGTTACCACCAAAGGAGTCAAAAAATCTAGACATTTTATCAACTATAGGGTTATCCAACCCGTAGAAACCGCTCAACCACTACAAAAAATTTACTTTTTTGCGACGGTAAAATACCGTCTCCAATACCAAAGAAGCCGTCTCAAATGCTTTTTTGCGACGGTAAATAGCCTTTAGCGACGGTACTAGGGGGGTCGCAAAAGAAGGGGTAGCTAAAGGTCTTTAGCGACGATAAACGCCGTCGCAAAAACATTGGCGACGGCAAAGATGCCTTTTAGCGACGGCAAAATGCTGTCGCACGTAATGTGTAAAAATCTGAAATTTTTGAGACGGCACTAAAATACCGTCGCAAAAGGGTTTATTTAAGACGGTAAAAAATACCGTCGCTAAAAATGGTTATTTGCGACGGGTTTAATACCGTTGTTAATACTATTATTTGCGACAGAAAAGTGTGCCGTCTCTAAAAATATTATTTGCGACGGTGATAGTACCGTCGCTAAAGGCCGTTTGTTCATATTGCCAATATCATGGGCGACAGCCATGCTACCGTCGCAAAAACCTGTTTCTAACAAAAAATGCAGTTTTAAAATTATTAAAAATATGCAAATTACCTGTATTAAATAAAAATAACTAAAAAAATTCGATAACTATATAATAATATAAAAATTCATGTATATAAATAAAATTTCATCCTTAATTAAAGTACTCTTCCATTCATAACAACACATCATCAAAATTATCCAACCACATAATTTTGCAAAATACATACATAATGTTGTTCACAAATCTAAATAATGTAAATCAAAAATAAAAGTTTTCTTCATAAACAAAAGTCCGTCGCAATCTTCACACGGCTGCATTCCACAAGAAGCAAACTGCTACTCAGGAAATATCTGAAAATAAAAAATAAAAATAATTAGTGACAATATAATTATGTATTAATATTTTAATTACAAAAAAAACATAAAAAATTAATTACTATATAATTACAAAGATAGTTAACTAAATAATTTTGGCTAGATAGAAATCCGACCCTAACTCCCAAACCGGAAACCCGATTCGAGTCTCGTCTTCTCCCACAAGTCTCTCGTGCCTAGGCGGTCGTGTGTGCCAAGTTTCGTGCCAATCCGACCCCATTTGGTGATTTTGGGGTGTCAACACCTCGAATTTAAGTTTCTTTTGGGGATTGGTAGCTAAACAATTAATAGCTTTAACTTAGGCACCAACCAAGAATAACCGTCCAAACAAACGCATAGATATAACCGTAAATTCAGAAAATTGATTCAATTTTCTAAAACCAAATAACTCAATTTTTTGAAAAATTGATTCAATACAGAAAATTGATTCAATTTCTAAAACCAAATCAGGTGATGGGAAATGGAGTTTAGTATTTCATGCCAAGTATATACTGAAAATAGGTCAAATTCATGAAATTGAAAAACAAATGTTTTAGAACTTTACATTCTCAAAAACATTCTATTAACTTTTTCAGCAGCTGTAGATACAAATAGCATGTAATGCTAAAGGATCCTTTTCTTTGCACTAACATGGCACGTACCGTTTCTTAAGGATCTAACAAAATAGTTCAATGTAGGCTCATATAACCTAAAATGTGATGATTCTGGATCCTAGAAATATTTTTTCCTTCCACCTTTTCAAATGAATGAGTGACAGGAATCATTTGGAATGATAATATCTGTTTTTTCTCCCCCTTATTCTTTAAAGTTCTTTTTGCATGAAAATTGATGGAAGAATCACCTTTAAATGACATTTGCCTTCTTTTGGAAACAGAAACTGGCTCTTTCACTATTTGGTTCCTCAGAAAATGAAAGAAAAAAACAAAATAAAAATGCAATTTTTGAGCCTCATAGGTCCGATGTTGATATAAAGAAAATAAATTCAAAACTTTTCATTCAAGTAGCGAAGCTATATACTAGCTTGGTCTAGTTGAGAGGAGGCTGTTATTAAAATTCTACAAAATTTGAATTACACAAACGAAAACAATTAAAAAAAAAAGGGGGTCAAATTATGCAGCGGTTAACTTGTGTAATTTTTTTCTTTTATAATTTTATATGATTTTATCTGTTAAATTTTTATTTTGTAAATAAGTACTCTTAAAATACTTAGAGTTTAAAATTATTGTAAATCCTTAATTTTGAAATCTAACCTTTTTGTTTTTTACATTGTAAATACTTTTTTTTTTAATTTTATTGTATAATTTTTCACATTATTTGATAAATTCGTTAAAGAAATTGTACAAAAATCAATAACAAAATAGTCTATTCAAAAGCAAATAAATTGTTTCAAATTGAGCGTTAGCTCCTCAATTACTTTGAGAATGGTAAACTATTTTATTCATTGATTTCAATACAATTAAAAACATATTATCAGTTGAATTAAATTAAAACAAAATTAAAAACTCAAGAATAAAATACAATCAAAATTATTATTATTATATTTTTTTGAACGAGATACAATCAAAATTACGAACACTAAATTTATACAATAAGCAAATTATAGAGATTAGAACTGTAATTTTTAATATATGTATATTAACAACCAAATAGATATTGGAATATTGTTTTGAAGAGAAAAAATTTAAATATATAGGCTTTTATTGAGATAATGTTGTGTTTTTGTTTTGGTGTTTGACAGTATGACGATTTAGCTGAGCTAGAGTGGCTATCGAATTTCGTTGAAGAATCATTTTCGACCGAGGACAAAAACACAACACAACGAGCACATAACCATCTAAAACAGACATATGTCAAGGAATCATTTTTGAAAGGAAGAAGACGAACCTAGAATGGCCGTTCACAATCGCTCACAGTCGCTCGTCACTCGTCGTTCACCGTCACGGCTGCTCGTCACTCCGGCAAAGGCTGCTCGTCACTCCGGCACGGTATATCGTCGCGGCTGCTCGTCACTCCGGCGAAGGTTGTCGTTCAATGATTTTGATTTGAGGATTTTGGGGATCAGTGGATTGGGATTTCGGGAATTTTAGGGATTTCGGTTTCAGGGATTTTGATTTGAGGAATTTGGGGATTTTAGGGACTTCAACCGCGAATGGGATAGAAATAGCGGGATAAAAAACCAAATATTCATTTATTTGCGACGGTATATTTTAACCGTCGCAAATGATCATGATTAACGAATGAAACGACGTCGTTTTATCCTTCGTTTTTGGCGACGGGCTTCTGCTGTCACAGATGGTCCACCATTTGCGACGGTAACTTCTTACCGTCGCTAAAGAACACGTTTGCGACGGTATACCGTGCGTCGCCAATGTTTTTGGAATTTTCTTTTTACAATCTTTAGCGACGGAATCATCCCCGTCGCAAAAGGCCATTTTTTTATCGACGGCAAACACACCCCGTCGCAAAAAACTTCTTTGGCGACAGCAACTACAATGCGTCGCAAAAAACCATTTTTTGCGACGGCAGTCACCCCGTCGCAAAAACCTCCGTGTTATTTGCCTGATTTTCTTGTTGTGAACCCGATCCGAACTGCATACAAATGGGCGGTTTCGAGTGTATAGTAAGGTCGGTTGCGGTTTAGATTAATCCTTCATTGCGGGTTGCGACTTTTACCCGCACCCGAAAACACCTGCCCGCACTACACATTTTTTATTGAAAGATTAATAATTCATTGGTATGTAATGTTTCATGCTGCTGGACTTCAAACTTATTATAGGCACAACAATAGCATCCTCTTTCATGGACAAGCAAGGAAGGAAAAGTCTTTTACAGACAAGCTTTGCTGGAATGGAAATTTTATAATGAAATCTTTTTTCTATCTGAAGCACATGACACTCACATACTGTAGTGCAAAGGTTGAGTTGTGGAATTGCCTCGAACAATTGAAAATGTATTTTTGAGTGGGTAGGATAGCAAAGCATGATTTTATTTCTGGTAGCCAAAAGTGAAAATAAAATAAAATAAAATAATTTCAATCTGTAAATCCTATCCGCATAAACTGCAACCTACACGGTGGGCAGTTGCTGATTCAATTTTTCTCAATCCGCAGACATGCGGATTGGTCCAAACTACAAATCAAACCATCTAAAACCGATCTGCGACCACTCTTAGTTTCCATTTGTATCTTCCTCCGTTCATACTTTGTTTTGATACGGAAGCCATCAGCACGCGTAAATTAACCAAAACAAAGAGAAGAAAAACATGCATAATCGCATATGAAAATGTAATTGTAAATATGTCAAAAGATAAGAAATCGAAGCCAACTTCCAAGCATAGTTGCTAATACTTAAAAAAACCAATCACTCTAATTCAAAACTTAAAAACAACAATAAATTTCTCATTACACCATAACGAAATGAGACAAATTGAATAATCATTGTTCTATTTCTAATTCAGATCTTGCAACACATAGTACAACATAAACAGAAGAAATTCTAACTATAGTAATGAGAAGAAATATTCTTCCCAGCACTTTTTATTTGCACATTTGTAGAATTTGGTTTGTTCATACTTATCTTGTACTTACAACTTTTGAAGCCGTCGCCGAAGAATTGCAAAAAACACAACAATCCAACATTATCCGACTAATAATGCTTCCTTCTTTGATCTTAAGCTTTCGACTCTGCTTATTCCAAAGATGCACGGCGTAGCTATGGCTACGAATGTGATTGAGCTTATGATGTAGCCATTTTGAATGAGTCTCATTTCTTGGTCCACGAAACAACCCACGAATCCTACTCCAATCAACCGGGTAAAAAGCCACCGGATTGAGAACATCGAAATCAAATCCAGGCCTTTCTTTCACCCGCGAAACAACCCTTGAAACCAAGTATGGACCATTGTGTCCCCACTTGTTTCCATCGAATGTGAGCGCGAATTCTTGAATAAACTTGTAGAGTAAGGGATGCGATTTGTCGAAGACCAATATAGCATTGTTCAATCGGGTCCAATTTCCCGTTTCAAGGTCAATAGTTTGTGCACCGATAACATTTCTCAGTTTTGCGAAACTCTTGAGAATTATCACGTCAGTGTCGATGTAAACGCCTCCGAATTTGTATAACAGAGCGAGTCTGATCAAGTTTGAGAGATTTTGACCTAATGAAACCTCTCCAGGATCAACGTTGCTCAGGCTCGAATTCTTCAGAATACACAACTGAAGAACAACACTCTCTTTTGTAGAACAAAACACAACCTTTGATGTACTCTCTTTAGAATATGAGTTGAATACTCAATAAAACATCAAAGAAAACTCCCAAAGTATCCCCAGATATAAACCCTAGAAACCAAAAAGAAGATCTGGAGCAGCTATTCTAAAATCTGACCCAACACGCGAATTTATAGAATCTGTCCCGCGATCTCCGCTCGAGCTCAACACAGCCCGCTCGAGCGGACTGACCAAAAACTGCGTGCGAACAAACTGAGATGCGCTCGAGCGTAGGAGAATCCGCTCGAGCGTAAAATCACACATTCCAGTATTTTTACAGGCGACTGCAGAGATGCTGAGAGCTTCCAACCCCCGCTCGAGCGTCCCTTTCCCCGCTCGAGCGGGAAGACCATGGAGTATCTACGAGAAATCGAAATTTCCCCATTTGTGGTCGGCCTAGGATAGCTCGGCTGAGGAGTTTGGCACTGTGGTAATTGGTTGTTGCTCGGCCTGGAGAGCCTCAGGAATGGACAAGTGGTCCCCTTGGACTCTGCAGGAAAATGATGGCGAGTGCGAGTGTAAGTGTGAGCGCGGTCGCGCGAAAGGAGTCTGGACCCCCGCGAGCTGACCGGGCAGCTCGATCCCCGTCATAATCAGCGAAGTGGCAATCTTGAAAGCATTATCAACACAAACTTCTCTGAAAAGCACAATTCGGGTTGGATTCGCATCTAACAACTCATAGCCTTACTGAAATAAAAAGTGCGAATAAAATTACAGCTCAAAAGAGTTTTGTCAAACGGGATTGCCAAGAAATAAAACCTAACATATAATAAGGTCGGGTGCGGTTTAGATTAATCCTTCATTACAGGTTGCGAGTTTCACCCGCACCCGCAAACACCTGCTTGCACTAAACATTTTTTTTTGAAAGATTAATAATTCATTGGTATGTAATGTTTCATGCTGCTGGACTTCAAACTTATTATAGGTACAACAACAGCATCCTCTTTCATGGACAAGCAAGGAAGGAAAAGTCTTTTAATGACAAGCTTTGCTGGAATGGAAATTTTGTAATGAAACCTTTTTTTCTATCTGAAGCACATGATACTGACATACTGTAGTGCAAAGGTTGAGTTGTGGAATTGCCTCAGATAATTGAAAATGTATTTTTGAGTGGGTAGGATAGCAAAGCATGATTTTATTTCTGGTAGCAAAAAGTGAAAATAAAATAAAATAAAATAATTTCAATCCGTAAATCCTATCCGCATAAACCGCAACTTGCACTGTGGGCAGTTGCGGATTCAATTTTTCTTAATCCGCAGACATGCGGATTGGTCCAAACCACAAATCAAACCGTCTAAAACCGATCCGCGACCACTCTTAGTTTCCATTTGTATCGGTTGCAAATTCCAATTTGAGTAGAAAAATCTCTTTATTCCTCCGTTCATACTTTGTTTTGATACGGCAGCCATCAGCACGCGTAAATTAACCGAAACAAAGAGAAGAAAAACATGCATAATCGCATATGAAAATGTAATTGTAAATATGTCAAAAGATAAGAAATCGAAGCCAACTTCCAAGCATAGTTGCTAATACTTAAAAAAACCAATCACTCTAATTCAAAACTTAAAAACAACAATAAATTTCTCATTACACCATAACGAAATGAGACAAATTGAATAATCATTGTTCTATTTCTAATTCAGATCTTGCAACACATAGTACAACATAAACAGAAGAAATTCTAACTATAGTAATGAGAAGAAATATTCTTCCCATCACTTTTTATTTGCACATTTGTAGAATTTGGTTTGTTCATACTTATCTTGTACTTACAACTTTTGAAGCCGTCGCTGAAGAATTGCAAAAAACACAACAATCCAACATTATCCGACTAATAATGCTTCCTTCTTTGATCTTAAGCTTTCGACTCTGCTTATTCCAAAGATGCACGGCGTAGCTATGGCTACGAATGTGATTGAGCTTATGATGTAGCCATTTTGAATGAGTCTCATTTCTTGGTCCACGAAACAACCCACGAATCCTACTCCAATCAACCGGGTAAAAAGCCACCGGATTGAGAACATCGAAATCAAATCCAGGCCTTTCTTTCACCCGCGAAACAACCCTTGAAACCAAGTATGGACCATTGTGTCCCCACTTGTTTCCATCGAATGTGAGCGCGAATTCTTGAATAAACTTGTAGAGTAAGGGATGCGATTTGTCGAAGACCAATATAGCATTGTTCAATCGGGTCCAATTTCCCGTTTCAAGGTCAATAGTTTGTGCACCGATAACATTTCTCAGTTTTGCGAAACTCTTGAGAATTATCACGTCAGTGTCGATGTAAACGCCTCCGAATTTGTATAACAGAGCGAGTCTGATCAAGTTTGAGAGATTTTGACCTAATGAAACCTCTCCAGGATCAACGTTGCCTTTTTTTAATTGATCAAACCAAGTTTCAGCCAAAGTGTTCTTAAACAAGTAATCGAAATCAGGCGAAATTGAAATCAGATGGAACCCTTTATCTAAAAAAGGCCTTAGAATTCGAGTTCCTCTTGTTGAATCCATCGAATTCGATACAATTATCAAGCACCCATTTGGATGGGATTTGAACACACTCTCTATTGAGAACAATTCTCTCTCCCCAAATGAATCAATCGATGAAATCCAAGTCATGAAAAACCGAACCTCACAAGAACTTGAATTGAAAAACTCTTTCACTCTCTTCGAAAACCCGTCTTTCCGAGCCTCCGAACGCAGAATTCCGAACTGGGTTCTGTGTTTTCGCCTTCTTTTTCGCGCGAAAATGATCGAATTGTTCGTGGGAAGAACCGAATTCTGTGATTTTTTAAGGAAATGGAAATGGGTTTTGGGAATAGAAGGTGTGTTTTCTTCCTTGAGTGAGAACAGAACAGTGGAAGATAGCTTGGTCGGAGAAGAATGCCATTTTTTGGTTTCTCCGGCGACTTTTTCAGGCGTGAAGCTGGCGGTTTCCGGCGGAGTTTTGGCGGGAAAAGGGAGTTGTAAACAGAATATGGCGGCGCCATTGTAGACTAAGAGGAGGAGGAGAAGAAGAGAGAGAAGAGCCAAGAGAGAGGTTCTCTGCAAACGGCGAAGAGAGAGAGAGTGGTGGTGGTGGTGGGGATGAGATGATGGGTTGGTGTTATTGTCCATTAATGTTGTTGTTGTTGTTGTTGGTTTTTGGTACTAGAATTTTGAGCAATGAGTGAGACTTTCATAGTAATTGTTGTGGAAAATGGTGTTTCTCTCTCTAGAAAGAAGAGAGAGAAGAGGAGAGAGATGGAAGAACAACATGGTAATGGAGGAAAGTTGCAAATGAAAATTTAAAAAAAGTGTTTTTACTGTTTTTTCTTTTTGTGTCATGGAAACCAAAGCTCTCTTTATAAAAGGAAGTTTTTTTTTTGTGTTGTGAGCCTCACTTTTGTACCGTGTATATATCACATAATTATGTAAATTAAATATAAATTTACATAGATGAATACAGAGGAACAGCGGAAACAAGATAGAAGATAGATGAATAGATAGAACACACAAGTAAAACGCACACACAAGATAGGAAGTGGGTTGGTTTTTTGGTTTTTTAATTTTTTTGGCTATTTTAGTTTGGGCTAAAAAGCTTGATTTAGGAAGGGTTTTTTGGCTTTTTTGACTTTTTTTGTGAGAGAAGAGTGTAATGATTATGGATTGGATGTGATGTTTTGTTTGTTATGACTAAAATAGCCTATTTTATTTTTTGTGGCTAAAATAGCCAAAAAAACCCAACCAACTTCTTCCCAAACGGTGAGTTTAAAAAAATTAATAAAATAAGATATGATATTTAAATTATAATTATTATATTTTTTTTTTTATAAAAGTCAAAAAAGTTAAAAAATTTATTCTAAATGAGATTTTTTAACCCAGATTAAAATAGATAAAAATTTAAAAGTCAAAAGCTAACTCACTTCACAAAAAAATGTATAAATCTATTTATGAAAGTGAATTTACATAAATTTATGTTCAACTTACACATTTTTATAAAATTACTTAAATAAATTTGTAAAACTGTGGTATTATGCGCTGTTTGAGAAGAAATTTTTTTAATTTTTTCATTAAAAGACAAATTGGTTACAAAATCAAAAAAATAAATAAATCCAAACAAAATATCATATCAAACCCCGTAATCATTTCACTTTTTCTCTCACAAACATCACATCCAACTATAAAAAAACCCAATTATCTTTTCAAATACAAAAAAAAAATTCTCAAATAATATTCAACAACTAAAAAAACTTATAAAAAAACCGACTTCCCAAACACCCTCATATACCAATTAGTATACTAACTAGTGTACCAATACTAGTTATCACATTATTATTCACCCTACTCATTAATCATATTACAATTTAAAAAACTTCTTAAATTATGTCACATTATCAATTAGTATATTAGTTAATATATCAATTAATACATATAGTATTATTTTTTGTAAAAATTTATGTAATCTTATAATAATATTGTATATGATGTGCATTGCATATCTAATCTCCCAAGGTACTTTTTTCTTTTTTAATGTTTTTAAGAACTTTCATTTCTTTAGTCTCGTGTGTCCATGATTTAAAGAAGGAAAATGCATGAGACGCCCGTGGGGTGCTGGGTCTCTTCCTATTGGTTAAAATTTGCTTTTTTTTCAATTTTTAACCAATAGCAACATGCCACGTCACTGGGTGCCACTGGGGGGTCCAGCATTTTTTTTTTATAAGAATTTATCAAGATTCAAGAGTTTGGTTAGCGTGGGTCTTTAAAGTTTACGTTAAAGGAAGTTAAAAATTATGTCCTCTTTTAAAGTTGGTTAAAAATCAGTTTCGAGCTTTTAATTTATTTTAGGTCATATTACTTTTCACATAACTTACTTATAAAAAGATAAAATAAGTTAAAAAATTAAAAAATCAGCTTTTAATCAATTTTTCAAAACACTCTTTTTTTTCTCAAGTGAACTTGAAAAAATTTGAGGAAAAGATAATAGATCGTGTTTTGATGATTTAAATTATTAATTTTATAAGATTTTTTGTGTATACCATTTATGAAAAAATTAGAACAATTCAATAATTTTTACCTTTCATTTTATTATGCTTACCTCAAAAAAAAAATAAAAAAATAAAATAAAGATCTATTTGCAAAAATATACTTATCGTTAATTTTTTTCAAAGATAAACATCATGACAAAATAAAAATGTTACGTTTATCATATCGATCTATTTTTTTTTTTATAAATGATACACTGAGTATCTTACTCTTACAAAATAAATAATTTGAATAATCAAAACAGAACTCATAGTGAGATATACGGACCACTTAAGCTCATATTTGAACTTAAAAAAAAGCTTAAATTAAAAAATATTATACATTATTTATTACAAGTTATTCTATACAGAATGTGTGCAAACTCTTAAAACTTTTTAACATCCATCTTTAAAATACATGTTAATAAAATTTATTTATCAATAATAATCACAGATAGTCATTTTTTAAATTAGATGATGCATTTTCAATCTTACTACTACTACTACTACTACTACTTCTTCTTCTTCTTCTTCTTCTTCTTCTTCTTCATCATCTTCTTCTTCTTCTTTAATTAATGCATTTAATTCTTTAATTAATGCATTTAAGATATTTTGATATTTTCCTTGGATTGAGAATTGTCTACATGAGTTTGTCGAGGTGTCTATATAGACCTCTTGTCATCTTTTATTTGTCAAGAGTTTCGATTGCTTTCAGCATACAACAAATTAACATAAAAGTGATATTTGGGAATTATTTTTATTAAGTAAATTTTTAATATTTTGAAAATACATACAAAAAATAGGGAAAATAGTTTGATCTTGTATAATAAATTTTTAATTTTTTTTAATTTTTCTGATTCATTATTTTGACTTAAAAAAAAACTAGCATATCACCCGTGTTATGCACGAGTTATATTTACAATTATCTATATATGTAAATTGTAATTTTTAAATATCTTTTTTTTTAAATGTCTTCTTTTTTTTCTTTTCTTTTTTATGTATTATATTAAAGTTTAATATTTTGATAATAATCATATGTGTTGGACTTTTCAAGGAATTAATTTTTATTTTATTTTATATTATGTAAGAAATAATGTATAGAGAAAGAGAGAGAATAAATTGTATGTATTATTATTGATTGATATATTGATATAGTGTATATTACAATTACAAGGATTCCTATTATATAGGAGTGTGTTTGGGAGTAGGTGGAGAGTAGGTGAAGTGGAGGTGGTAGTGGTGTAGTGGGTTAGGTTTAGTGGAGTAGGTGAGGTGGTAGTGGTGGTAGGTTTATGGTAAATTCTAACATTATTAAAGTTTAATATTTTGATAATAATTATATGTGTTGGACTTTTCAAGAAATTTGTATGTGTTGGACTTTTCAAGAAATTCGTATGTGTTGAACTTTTCATGAAATTTTTTTATACTTGTTCTTAATGCATTAAAGTGTTATTATAAGGGACAATAATCATATGTGTTAGGACTTTTCAAGGAATTCATATGTGTTAGACTTTTCAATAAATTTTTTTTATGGTTGTTCTTAATGCATTAAAGTCTTATTATGAGAGATAATAATCATATGTGTTAGGACTTTTTAAGAAATTCATGTGTTGGACTTTTCAAGGAATTTTTTTTATGTTTGTTCTTAATGCATTAAAGTATAATTATGAGGATAAGGCTTGAGAGTTGGGAGAAATTAATAAATGCTAAGGGTTTTTTTTTTTAAATCAAAAAATCAGGAAATTTAGATTGAGATATTGAAACTCTTATAAGACTTGGGGTTAGAAACCCATTTTTCCTTAATATATATACTAGAATATCACTCGTGCTATGCACGAGATAATTAAAGATATTTATATTTGTTTTAATATATAAATTATGTTTTTTAAGATTTTTATAAAAATAATTTAGCAATCTTATCACTAACCATAGTGTATGGGAGAAGTGGAAAACGGTACTGCAGTAACTATACACGGATTGTATCTAGAGTGCTGTTATTACCACCTGCCAAAATTCTTTGGACCCCTCATTTTATAATTTTTTTTATTACAATTATACCCTAAAGTAAAATTACATTAAGACATTATTAAACGGAACACCCACCTATCAATAAAAACTAATACTCTATAATATTGGACACCCACCCCCACCCCCCACCTCCAACTCCAACTCCAACTCCAACTCCAACTCCAACTATACGTATTCCATGTTTGTAAACCCTAAAACTATTACTTTTCATAACCAACTAATATAAACCCTAAATCTATTACTTTTCATAATCATCTTAAATCCTGAATGTGTCATCTTCATCACTATCATCAACGCTATTGAACTTGAAAGTTTTGCTTCAAGTATAACGTATACTTCATCACTTATTTCACTGTGTAGAGCAATGGAGGACGAGGACAACAATTCTAGTGAGACCGGCGTTCCATTAATTAGTTTATCTGTCTTGTATTAACATTCTCCATCGTTCTTGTTTCGTTCGAGCTGTTCGGTATTGGTTTGCTGACTGTTAGAATTATGTTCGGTAATACAGTACTGAACATAATCCTTTCATTCAATACATAGGTTCCGAACATTAATGCAGATAGTCAGTTATGTAATTTTCTTTATTAAACTTACTTAGAATGGAAAAGAGTGAATTGAAATGGATTTAAGTTATGTATTTTGAATAGATTTAATCCATGTTATTTTAAGTTGTGAATTGGAATGGATTCAAGTTACACAGTGATGAACAAATTTTGTTCGAACAAACAGTGCTAGCAGGATCATTATATTGTTCGACAAAACAGTTCTGAACAAAATACATTTTTTCGGCTACACAGTGGTGAACAAATTGTTTTGGGCTACATTCAGAATTCTAATGGCGATTCAGACGATGATTCTGTTTTTCCTCATCTTGTAAACGGTTATGCAAATCCCATAGAAATTTGAGTATCTTCGATCGGTCTCAGCGATGACGAAGATACAAAAAGCAATGAAGAAGATAATGATGAGAGGATGAGAGAGGTTACTGATTCGGCGATACGGAGAGCGTTCAGAGAAGATAAGAGTCGTCGGAATGCTCCGTTGACAACGACCGAGACGGCGACGAGAGTGATGAAGGGTTGGGGTCCAAGAATTCTATACTGGACCAAAGCTCCAAACTCTGAAGATTGAGTGAGTCAGGGAAGGAGAGGGATGAAAATAAAATCAGGTGGGTGTGCATTTCATTGTGAAAATATTATGAATATGGATAGATTTGATAATAAGTGGGGTGTCCAAAAACATATTATTAAAATTTAGGGTTTAGGGTTGGGGTCCAAAGAATTTTGGTAGGTGCTAATAGCAGCAATTATTTGTATGAGGGGATTTTAAAT